CCCGCGAGAGCGCGCTGCCCGGCGAGGGGCGGGACGGCCCGCAGGCCCCCCAGCCCGCGCGCGCCGTGCCCGCCACCATCGAGGAGGTCATCGCCTCCCTGGAGTCCGAGGCCCAGCTGGCCTCCGACCAGACCGTCAGAGAGCTCATCCAGAGCGTCCTGGGCCCGAACTACGACCTCCAAATGGAAGTAGGTGATCCCGAAGGAGAGTAATATTGCTCCTGGGTAAATGCAGCCTTGGGAGACGTCACATCAGATATTTCAGTGCATGCTGTGTGTGATAAGCTAGACAAAACGCTGGGGTGTTGTTCAAGTTCTTTGAGTTCTGAAATTGAATTTTTGAATTTTCCATCGAGGGAGTGTGAGTGTATTCTCTTTTCAAAGTGAAAGAAACTGAGAGGTTACTTCAAAAACTGGTTCAAAGAACATTACTTGTAGACCTGAGTAATATATCACTGGTAACCTTTTCTTTCAAAGTCTTTGTGATTATTTAGTATTGAAATGACAGATGTTTTATATGAAAGACCCAGTCTTTTTCTGGTATAGCTTGGCATTATTAACAGTGAATTTATATCCTAAGAAGATCAATGTATTACCATCAAGAAGTTGAAAGAGTTGTGTAGTATTTCCAGTGAAAACCATTCTCTTAAAATATTTTTTAAAAATTTACTTTCTAGGCCTTCCCAATTATAGAGATTATTAGGTGATTGTTATGTGACAAGCGCCATGGGACACAGTTTATGTGCATTTTTGTCCTGATGACAATCCCCTCAGCTGGATACCCCTAAGAGCCCCATTTGACATGGGAGGCTTCCTATCTTTCATGAGGTTAAAGGATTGGCTCAGTGTCCTGCAACCAATGCATGGCAGAGCTGGGATTCCCCCCAGGCGGTCACACCCTGGAGATGACTGGACCTAGGCCAGGACTGTCCATCTCTTGATTGTGATATGTCCCTGGCAGGGAGCAAAACTAGATAGGGTCATAGTTTAAGATATTTTGTCCATTATACAGACTTTGCTCTGGCAGGGGCATTCAAAGGAAAAATAATAATATGGTAATCTGAGTACGGGGGGGGGAGGGGGGGCAGAGAGAGAGAGAGAGAGAGGCATAGTCTTTAGTCTTTTTTGAGAATGGCAATGAGAATGACAGTAAGGGGGAAGAAGATTCTGTTACTGTTCTTGGCTGCAGCGCCAAACCTCTTGTTAATACACAGAATACTGCTGCCACATTATGTCTTGAAAATATTTTCAACCCCAGAATACACTCTTGGCTGTGATTTAAGGAATGTGATCATAAAACTCGTTACGGAAACAAAAACATGTAAGGACAAGAGTCCCCAGTGTCGCCTTTGACCCAATGTTTGTCAGCAGAGTAGGACAAATGTTTTTGACTAAGACCCACACCTCCCCACGCTTACTGAACGAGGTCAGTGTGACTGCTCAGGCCATTTCAAAATGGGTATTTCTCATTAGGTCTGTGGGTCTAACAGAAAAAGGAATCGGAGATGCGCACTGGAGAGCCTTAGCAGAGAGAACAAAGGCCTTGGTGTCTGCCCCTGTGAGGAGGAGCTCGATGACATAGTCAACGTACTTGACATGAAGAGGCGCCTGAGTTAGACACTGACTCTGAGTCCTGTCCAGTTGTGGAAAGTCACACTTTCAGAGCAAGGGCCCAGAAGACAGAGTATATTTTGAAGGGTTCACATAGAATAGAATATAAGAAGGGAAAGTATCGAATGACAAATGAACACTGGGACAGTGAATTCTGTTCTTTCTCATATTCCATTTCTCTTGTGTATCCTTTTCTGATTACTTGAATTGTTTTATGTAGGAGAGCGGCCTGGAGCATTAGAGTCAGGAGCCAGGGGCTCTAGCCCTGTTTTATAAGACTTGGCCAGTGCCAAATGTTTCAGTCCCATCCCTGCCTTCCATGATATTGATTTTTAGTGCAGCCCAGATTTCGTTCTTATTTTTTAAATTTTGCCTCCTCCTGCCCCAACAATTCCAGAAGATGGAGCTTTGCGTTATTTTGAATAAAAATGGTTTCAGAAGTTTTATTAGGGCGAGAAGGGAACAATGGGGAATTTGTTGCAATGGCTGTGGCTGGGTAGGTGAGAGAGAGCAATAAAAAGGCAAGTGTAAAAGTGGTCTCTAAATTATGATTTTAAAAATCTTAAGATTAGGAGCCAGCCTGGTGGTGCAGTGGTTAAGTGCACGCGTTCCACTTCGGCAGCCCGAGGGTTCGCAGGTTCCGATCCTGGGCGCACACCAACGCACCGCGTGTCAGGCCATGCTGTGGCGGCATCCCATATAAAGTAGAGGAAGATGGGCGTGGATGTTAGCCCAGGGCCAATCTTCCTTGGCAAAAAAAAGAGGAGGATTGGCATTGGATGTTAGCTCAGGGCTGATCTTCCTCTCACACACACACACACAAACTCTTAAGATTAGAATAAGGACATTTATTTTAAACATTTTATATAAACAACGTTCTCTCCAGGATAAGCCAGGAATATGGTTCTTCTCTTTAGACATCCTAATTTGTAGCCATACAGCAGTCTGGAGAGGGAAAGCCAAAGGGTAAGACAGTCTTGTCAGGGTGTGTTGTCTCTGTTCAGAGGTTGAGCAAGGCCATTCCAGACCCAGTGATCAGAGATCCACAAACAGTTACATAGGCCAGAAGGTGCACAGAATACCTGATGATTAAACTTAGCTATCAAATGTAGATCAGCCATGTAAACCAGGGTTTCTCAACCTTGGGACTATTGACATTTTGGGTTGGATAATTCTTTGTTGTCGATAGCTGTCATGTGAATTGTAGGATGTTTAGAATTATCCCTGGCCTCTACCCACTAGATGCCAGTAGCGTGATTCTCTTGCCTCCCCCCATCCCACGTTATGACAATCAAAATATCTCTAGATGTTGCCAAATGAGACCCTGGGGAGAAGGGCAAAATCACTCCTTCACTAACCCCCACCCATTGAGAACCACTAGCCCAAACAGAATGCATACACCATGGCAGGAGGAATAGAAATGTTATAAGGTCCTGTGTTTGTTTTACTGATGAGTTCAATATTATCACTGACAAAATACGTCCTAATTATATGAGACTGGAGTTCAGAGACTACCTTCCAGATGTTAATTGAGGATCAAGGAGCCAGCCCATCCTTGCTTCTTTCATGTGTAGTTGTTTTTGGCCATACAGCTCAAAAGGAAAATGGCTTAACATGACCTAGGAAGGGGAAATTCATGTTCCAAGGTCTCTTATAAACAAATAATGTATAGCTCACAAAAAAAGTTAACATTATAAAATTGATAATTTTAAAATTTATGCCTACTTCCACTTCAGGGAAGATGAAATAGATGTGCTTTTCTCTGTTCCTCCTGTTAAGTACAGCTAAGTACAAACCCTGGACATTATATATAAGACAAACATGAGAAGACTCCAAGAAGTGGAGAGAAGAATACAGACTGGCTAGGGACTTCAGGATCCGAGGATTCACGTAGTGATGAGTTCATAGGTTTTCTTTTTGCCTCATATCTCCCAGACTTGGAGCTAAAGAAACTGGCAACCTAAGAATGTCAATGGTTACAGAAAGAAAAAGCCCCAACAAAAGCCTGCTCTCTTTACCAAAGGATCAAGAAAGGGGCAGCCTAGCGAGACAAAACTTTTAGACAATAACTGCGCTATTCTAGTCAAACGTGGAAGAAAAACGTATGGCCCCATCCCCACCCCTACTGGCCAAGGCTGGAGGTGGGGGCTAGATTTTCAGTCTCACTAGGCTGTAACAAGGTACCCCATCACCCCTGAGGTGATGTCAGTGGAGAGTCAGGACTTTCAATGCTGCCCAGCAGTAAAGAGGCTATGGTGGTGTCCCTGCGGTGTCACTGGAGGCCATGTGGGGAACAGTAATGAGACACTCATATCCCTCCCAACCAGGAGGGCATCATGTGGGATGATGTGGGAGCCAGAACTCCTACTCCCACCCAGCAATAACAAGGAGGCCCCCACCCCTGGTGTCAACAGAGACTGAGTTGGGAACCCAAACTGCTATCCCTACCTGGCAATAATGAGGCAGCTCCTGCCTCCCTCTACTGTCCCTGCTAGAGCAGCAGCAGAGGAAGCCAGCTAAAACAGAAAGTTTAAATAAGATCCAGACTCCCATAGCGTAATATCCAAAAAGTCCAGGTTTCAATAGAAAAATCACTTGTCATACCAGGAACCAGGAGCACTTAGCCTTGAAAGAAAAAGAAAGACCGTCAATACCAACATTGATTGGACAGAGATGTTAAACTTAGCTGACAAGTGTTTTAAAGTGGCCCTCAAAAAAAAAAAAAAAAAAAGGCTTCAATGAGCACACTTGAAACAATGAAAGAATAGAAAGTCTTAGCAGAGCAATAGAAAGTCTCAGTAAAGAAACAGAACATATAAAGAGGAATCAAAGGAAATTTTTAGAACTGAAAAATACAATAACAAATAAAAACGCAATGGATAGCTCAACAGCTGAATGGAGAGGACAGTGGAAACAATCAGTGAACTTGAAGATGGAATACAATTTACTCAATCTAAACAATAGAGAGACAATAGATGGAGGAAAAAAATGAATAGAGCCTCAGGGACTGTGGGACTATAACAAAAGATCTAACCTTCATGTCATTGAAGTCCTTGAAACAGAGGGAATCCCAAACCAAAGAAACCCACACCAAAACACATAATAGTCAAACTTTTGAAAATTAAAGGAAAAGAAAAATCTTGAATGCAGTGAGAGAGAAACAGCGTGTTGACTATACGCGAACACAATTTGAATGACAGTGGATTTCTCATCAGAAACCACAGATGCCCGAAGGAATGACAACTTTTTTCAAGTGCTGAAAGAAAAGAACTGTCCATCCAGAAGTCTGTATTCAGTGAAATTATTCTTCAAGAATGAAGAGGATATTGAGACATTCTCAGATAAAAGAAAGCTAAGAGAATTTGTCGCTTGCAGTTCTACCCCAAAAGGATGGCTATAGGAAGTTCTCTAAACAGAAAGGAACGATTGGGACAAGGACTCTTGGAACAACAGGAAGGAAGAAAGAACACAAAACAAAAACTATGGATAAATACAATGGACTTTCCTTCTCCTGAGCTTTCTAAATTGTGTTTGATGGTTGATGCTAAAATTATAACACTGTCTGATGTGATTCTAAA